CTGTGCGTGCGTACGAATGTAGGTTTGTGATAATATTTTGCTGTTATTATTGTGAGTGTCTGGCGCCCGTTGGACTGTGGTTATGTGGTTGCGAGAGAAGTTATTCGCCATGTGGTTTAGATTTGCGTTATTTTTATCATCACATGTAATAACCTTTATTAATTTGAACTTCTACGTCTCTCACTTCTCTGGAGGAATCCGGAGAGAGCCTTCAGGAAAAACTTCATTTATTTATGGAAATTCAAAGGCAGGCATTCATCCGCCGTGAAGCCACTTCTCAATAAGACGCAGATTCGCCCTTATATACTTTTAGCAGATTATGTCCTATACATACATACATACATTCATATACATGTGTATGTTTATATGTATATGTATATATATATATATATATATATATATATATATATATATATATATATATATTATATATATAGTATATATCCCTATACAAGACATTTTCTCCTGTCATTACGCGTTTCCTTCACTCCTTCCCTCCTCCCTCCCTTCCTCCTTCCCTCCTCCACCCCACCTACCCTCCACTCCTCCCCCACCTACCCTCCCCACCTACCCTCCCCTCCACTCCTTCCCTCCTCCCCACCTACCCTCCACTCCTCCCTCCTTCCTCCCTCCTCCCCTCTTCCCCACCTCCCCTCCCTCCTTCCCTCCTCCCCACCTCCCCTCCCTCCTTTCTCCCCTCCCCTCCCCTCCCTCCCTCCTTCCCTCCTCCTTAGGGTGTCACAGATCAGATTATCACGAGGTCAGCGGCAAAGGCGATGTCCTGCCCTGTAAAGCGCGGTCGAAGTATCGAATTCTAAAACAACGCAGTCGATTCCCGCCGCCGAGTCGAATTTGGGGACGCTCGGTAAAATAGGCTTTATATTATTATATTTATGTTGTGTATTATGAATGTGTATGTCCAATTTATATATGTGTGTGTGTGTGTGTGTGTGTGTGTGTGTGTGTGTGTGTGTGTGTGTGTGTGTGTGTGTGTGTGTGTGTGTGTGTGTGTGTGTGCGCGTGCGTGTGTGTGTGTGTGCCTGTATATTTATACAATAATAATAATAATAATAGTAGTAGTAGTAGTAGTAGTAGTAGTAGTGATGATAATAATGGTGATGATAATAATAATTATGATGATAATAGTAATAATCATCATGATCATAACAACAACAACAATACTAATAATAATAATAATAATAATAATAATAATAATAATAATATTAATAATTATAGTAATAACTAAAATATTAATGATAATAACGGCAACAACAACAACAACAATAATAACAAAACAATATATATATATATATATATATATATATATATATATATATATATATATATATATATATATATATATATATACATATATATTTATTGTGTGCATGTCTGCATGTGTATATATATTATTATTATTATTATTATTATTATTATAATTATTGATAATAATAAAACAATAACAATAATAATAATAATAACAATAATAATAATGATAATAATATTAACAACAACAACAACAACAATAACACCTACAAGCGCTAACAGTAATGAAAAATGTTAAGACAATGTCAATAGGATCATCATAAATGTATCACTATCATGAACATTGCATTACAATTGACCGCACTGAACATCGCACCTGCATTTGTTCAATTAACGATCCGTCGTCAAGATTACCAACGATAATTATAATTAAGTCCTTATGGTTTCTTTTCTCCTCTCTTCTCCTCTCTTTCCCTCTATCCTTCGCATCTCTTTCGTTTTTTTTTTCTTTCTATCTCTTTCGTTTTCATTTCGTTCTCATTTTATATTTTTTTCTCCTTCTTTCTCTTTCTTCTTTCGTCTTCTTCTTCTTTCTTTTTCTCCATTTTTTTCTAAATTCCCTATCGTTCTTCCCACTTTTCTTTCTTTTATCATTTCGTTCTCTTCCTTTTCCCTCCTCTCTCATTTTTCCTCTCTCTCCCTCTCTATCCCTCTGTTCCCTTTCCCTTGTTTCTTATCTTCCTCCCTTTCCGCTCTCTCTCCCCGCTAGTTCCCTCTCTTCCATCTCCCTTTCTGCCCCGTCCCCTTCTTCCTTCTACCCTCTTTCTCCTATTCTCCTTACGTCCATTATTTCCCCTGTCCCCCTCCTTCTTTCTCCTCCTGTTTTCTTTTCTCCCTTCCCAGTCTCCTTTCCCCCCTTCTCCTTCTTCCCTCTCTCTTTTCCCCACCCACACTCCCCTTCCCTCTTCTCCTCTTCCCCTCCTCCTCCCCATTCGCCCTTTCTCCCACTTCTCCTCTTCTCCCTCTCCTACCCCCCTTCCCTCGTCTTCTCTCCCCCTCTCCCCGTTCCCCATATCCCCTCTCCTCCCACTTCTTCTCCTCTCCCTTCTCCCTCTTCCCCCTCCCCTCTCCCCACCCACCCTCCCCTCCCCTTCCCTCTTCTCCTCTCCCCAGCAAACCTCCCCTCTCTCCTCCCCCCCTTCCCCCCCTTCTCCCCCCTCCCCTTCCCTCTCCC